AATAACTCATTATACTAGTTATCCTGAAGAAAGATTGAGGTCAATCTAAAATATCAAATATATATATATAAAATAAATAAATACTTTCATAAAAAACATTATAATTTTTTTTTTTGCAACTTTATATATATATATATATATATATATATATATATATATATATATATATATGAAGAAATATAGTTTTAAGGTGTGCTATATTTGTGGGATAAAGTGCTCAATATCAGAGAAAGTGTGCATGTAAATATGAATATAAAAAGTGAACATTGAAGTCAACACTCTGAGGCGACAGGCTGTTTCATGCTAGACGCAATCGTCAGGCCGCGACGACACACGTCTGACGATGCGTCTAGCCTGTCGCCTCTGAGTGTTGACTTCAATGTTATATATATATATATATATATATATATATATATATATATATATATAAGGTAAAATAAAACAAATAAAATATAATTCACTTGTACGTAACATTTAATTGAAAAAATAGCTCAATATATTAGTAGTACTAAGAATTTTTTTAAGACTAGGTGGTATCAACATTTCTTATCCGTCACTAATAATATTTTTAAAATAGTACAACTCTTTCTAAATATTTTTGGATCTTAAAAGAAACTAATATATCTCTTAAGGAAAATGGAAAATTAAAAAAAACCCTCGAAAATGTAGATGAACAGGTTTTTGTATATTTACATGAAAATTAAGAAATTATCAGATCTTCTAATAAAATCTTCTTTCCAAAGAAGAGAATTGACTTTAAATCGTAGGCATAGCTTGACCTTTACCTTACAATATGTTTAAACTTTGAATTTGATAATACTTTTTCTTATAGTAATAAACAGTAGATAAATTGTTGTGCACCTTATATGACTTATTATTCTATTTCTAAGATTCATTTTGATTTAATATTGCTTTGTACTGATCTTCTATAAATGTACAGGTGTGTTAGTATTATGAACATCTTACTTATTAGTTGATATTATTAACATCTTATATGAGTGCACTTTATTTAACGTTTTCATTTTAATTTGCCAAGCTAGTTCTGTATTTTTTATCCGTTTTGTTTTTTTCAAGGCTTAATTTATTTACCAGTTTCTTAAAGGGGCCTTTTATTTATCAACTACAAAATTCACATTCAATCAACATGAAAAGACGATAGACTATAAAATAGAAATAGAATATCGTCTAATGTTAATTACGTTTTAATAACTATGTCCTGAAGAAGGTCTACTAGACCGAAATGAATGACGTCGACATTGAGATAACATTAAAACAGCCTATTTGCATATTCGGATTTTGTTTTTCCATATATTTTTCTTCATACTGTCGGATCTATATCCATATATTTGCTTACACAAACACACACACACACACACACACACATATATATATATATATATATATATATATATATATATTTGGTTGGATAGATGTGAGTTTGTGACCCTGGGTTTACGCTTTAGCGATCGTCAGCGTGAAACCCAGGGTCACAAACACATCTATCCAACCAAATATGTTAGCTTTTCTCTGATATTGAGCGCTTTCTAATAAGTACCGCATATAATATATAAATAATTATACATATATATATTTATTTATATTTATTTGTATATTTGTATTCCCCATATATATATATATATATATATATATATATATATATATATATATATATATATATATATATAAAAACTCAGAAAACTTATTATTATTATTATTCAAGAAATAACGTTGTGCAACTTTTTTTATTTTATATTTCCAGAATTTACTTATTTTTCAAGACAGTCACATAATATATATGGAAACTGATAGATAAAAAGACAAAGTGGACAGTGATAGATATTTAAATAGATATGAAAGGTCAGAGATAGATAGATGTGGGCAAACAGTGATCGATAGATCGTCGTCGTTGGCAGAACTCGTTGCCGAGTATTTTTCATGGGCTGCTCTTCTTCAGTTAGTTGTTTTTGCAGCTTCCGTCTCCCAATTGACCGGGTAAATTTTTGTCCTCACCTGATCCTTCCATCGACGATGTGGTAGATAGATAGATAGATAGATAGATAGATATGAACAGAGATAGATCAACAGACAAATAGACGTGAACAGACAGTGACAGATAGACAGACAGACAGACAGATAGATAGATAGATAGAGAGAGAGAGAGAGAGAGAGAGATCTGAACAATGATAGATGGATCTATAGATGTGAACAGCGATAGATAGATAGATAGAGAGATGGATGTGAAAAGACAGTGATAGATAGATAGATAGATAGATAGATAGATAGATAGATAGATGTGAACAGTAATGGATAGATAGATAGATGTGAACAGACAGTGATAGATAGATAGATAGATAGATAGATAGATAGATAGATAGATAGATAGATATGAACAGAGATAGATAAATACATACATAGACATGAACAAATAAAGATAGATAGATATAGGGATAGGCAGATTTAAACGGACAGTGGTTGACAGACAGGCAGAGATATGTATCATATTTTAGAGAGAGTTTGTATATGTGGTGGCTGATCATCTCGCCATTGAATAAACGAGAAATACCTTTGATACTATTTTGTTAAGGACTTCTTGGTCTGGCTAGTGAGCTTTTTTACCACCAACTCGTAAGTACGAATATATCGAACTATATATATATGAACCAAGCTAGATAGAATAAGTTAGTTCGATTTGACAGCGCTAAATTAATCATTCAGATGTGTTGCTGACTGGTCTTCGTTTTTCATGCAAATTTGCCTCCTTTCATCGCCTCGTCCGACCAAACGCGTTGATCTGACTGAACGTGTGTACGTATTTGATTGTGTTCAACGTGATCAATATTAGTCATTGAGTCTTTTGATCAAATTCGGGTCAAGCAGGAAAGATCAAACTGGGAAATTGGCGATCACGTTCGATTCCCGTCTTAGATCTTGATTGGAGGCTGAAAGATTATTTGTAATTAGCTGCAAATAGAACCGAATGGGAAGTGAGCTTAAACTAAAGAGGGGGGGAATGGAGGATTAGTTGCAGTCTACAAATTATAGCCGGCAAAAGCGAGCAAAGAGGGTGCATTATGAAAACGTCGACATTGATAGATATGGTGAGGGTGCGTTTGGTCCAAAGCTTTGACTATTGTGCCTACCCACTATCCGACATTCATTACACTCCGTGTGCGGCCTTTATGACCAGATATTACTGCTGGGGTCTGTATCTCTATAGTGAATATAACAATGATTCTACAAGTTTTAAAATTACAGTAAGGTTCACCTTTTACAAGGCCTGAGTGCCACTCGAGGTAGAGAGTTACGATAGGAGGACATTTGTGTGTATAGGAGTGGAAAACAACGGTTAACCACAGCAGGTCAAGATTGTAGTGATCGGCAGGGTTAGGGTTAGGGTTTTTATCTCACGACTGATGGTGGGAGTCAGTCATATAAGGCCTGACAAGGGATTCAAGATTTTTTTTGACCGCCAGCCTATGCGAAGAACAACTCTGAATTCAAAACTATAGGTTGTGGGTCTAGAATATACACCCTCAAAAACAAACACTTTCTAGGGAAGCCGATGCAACAACACATGTAGACGCTATGACCTTATGTACTTCAGTCGAGTGTTTCCTGGGTGAAGAAGAATCTGATTATTTTTTACGACTTACCAACTTTTTTTATCTTATTTAAAGACAGAAAAAGTAAGAGATAGACGAAGCAGTCCCACTTTTTAAATTGTACCACTATGGCCGAAAGGAAAATAAATATAGACAATGGGGTTAATATTAAGGATGGATTAATTTGATTTTTTTTACGGATTAACAACTTTTTGCAGATTATGAATATCAGAAGATATTTTAAGATTGTTGTGGCCTGTTTAAGGGCCAGAAAAAAAGACACGGAAGACGAAGGTAGGTTGAACAAGTGTATTGAAATAACACATATATACAAAGCAAGAGTGTTAGCAATAAGTAAATAGAGATGTACGCCCGAACGGGAGGTTAACACTGCGTCTCTGTTTCCCAACCAACTGCGCTACGACTCTATATTTAATAGTCACCCTACGAGGAATATATATGGCACAAAGCCGAGTTTAACGCGGGTTTCTTCGAGTCCGTAGGCTCGGACAAAAATATTCCTTTTGAACCCGCATAAGCTGGTTCGGGATCTGTCTATCTCCCCGGATGAAACTTTACCCTTCGGCAAAGCCTCGTCCGGGTTCCTCACTGCCAAAGCAGAGAGTTCGACAGACGTCGCACACAGTCAGAGACTGCCACACGACTCTTGCTAGGAAGTCTCGCAGTTAGTATTTATGAAAGGAGGAAGAGTTCATTCTTCTGTACGAGGTTTACCACAACAGAGATTATAATAATTTATGGAGATAATAATGATTTAATGACACATGTTCTACTGATTTATCTATACCTGAGGTGAAAGATATAGATTCCATACCTTTCCTAAGCGTATTTACACCCATGTGAATATAACTAACAGGACTTGGATTGGAACCCGTCTCTCGTATTTCCAAGCCGTTATACATTAAATTATTCGCATATGCAAGATTACAGCACAAGGTATACCCAAGTGGTCACCTAAGTACTGGCAAGTTTCGACATTGCTTAACAACAGTGATCGTACGAGAACCAGTTTTTCAACATGATATGACAGTAAACGTTATTTATACAGACTCATCTATTAAATGAGGACCCGTGATCAAAACGGAAGTTAATACTCGTTGCTTCTTCTCGGGATAATATTCTGGACTGATGTAAAGTGGAAAGACTACATTGAATCCATTGCTAGGATAAATGTTAAAAAAATATGTTTTACTGTGTCATGCAAGACAGTTTTTCTCTCCTGAATCTATCATAAATATCTATAAGTCTCCCATACGTCCATACTTAGAATTTTGCTGCCACATATAGTCCAATGCCTCTGCTATTTACCTTGAGCTCCTTGATAAAATCCCAAGGAAAATCAGCAATATCATTGGTCCAGATCTGACGTCTCGGCTTTAGTCATTGCCCCCAGCGTAATGTCGCCTCCCTGTGCGTTTTTTATAAAAAAAAACTTCACGGTAATTAACCAACATCAATACCTGATCAATCTAACGTTGAGCTTGCTAGGTGTAACCGTAAGTTCTATGTTAACAGTTTCTTCTATCGCACTTCTCGATTGTGGAACTCCCTTCCGGCTCCATGCTTTCCAGCCAACTTTAATCTCCAAAAATTTAAATGTTAATCGCTATTTCCTGTCCTCCGGACTTCTCCTTTTTTTTTCTCGCTTATTAGTAATATTTCTGTTTTAATTCTTCTACACCATGTAAAGCCTTGTATCATAGTGGATTCCCTGTCCTGCAAGAGGTAGAATCGACCAAAATAAATAAGAATAATCATCAATTCGGGGATCGAGCAATCAGCTTCACCTGGCAAAAATCTTACTTGTTTAGAAACCAGAACACAGCGCTGTAAATTTCTAGCACTACACTCCAAAATTATGGCGAGCAGGCCAATAATTTTCTTCCTTAAAAGATTAAGTTCCTTTATAATATTTGAAACCAAAAATCTGCTGGGATTTAAAGGATAATCTGAAACATTCAATCATATCATGTATGGAAGGCATTTTCTTTCGTTTTCATTTTTATATCCAGTTTACAGTTTGCTGCACTTCTGGGAGATTCTGCGATAGGTCATACGTATTTTATCTCACTGGAGTTCATTAACATTGAAAGGGCCTTTTTTATCATTTGTTGATGTTTATTGCTGGTGACAATATCTAACGAATGAGATATTTAAAAAAAATGTTTAATAGGGAGAAGTGAAGGCAATATCTAGAGATATTCTCTAGAGAATACGAGATTTCTTCATAAGAATCAGAAAAATAAATTAAATATTTTCTCTGTAGCCATATTTATTTGGTTGATTCCTTTTGTGTGAGTTATCAGCCATTTGTCGGTTATTTAATGCCAGATATTATTTGAGAATGTAAGATTTTTTTTTTTGAGATAATAAAGGTTTGGTGATACAATGCATACTAATTAACCTATACCTGGGAGGAGAAGAATTCGATGCATAAATTTGCCAAGAGTATTTGCGCGTAATTGAATATGACAAACGCAACGGGAATTGGAACTAGATTAATAATTCCGCTCCTTCATCCATTACCCCACCTGCACATATAAGCTTACAGCAGCAGATATTCCCAAGTGGTGACAAATGTAGATACTGACAAGGCTTGATCTTGATTAACTCCGGTGGTCGTGCGGAAAGCGGTTTTTCAAGGCCTTTTAAATTATATTAGTTTTTGTTAACCCAATGGAATGTGGCCTTTATCGCAGTAACAATAAATTTGGCATTGTAAGTTACCCCTGCAAATGATCTTAGAAATGATAGAAAGTACTTCGGTTAACAAAATCTACGGCACCTTCCTTGACGAATTTCATCGTAACATCAAGTAATTATTCCGAAAACGGGAATGGATCAGTATAAAAATAAGTAGGCACAATATGTCTATATTTCTCCATGAAACATATATCAGGTGTAATAACAAAATTGTCCAAACTGTGTTACAGCATGCCTAATAAACACTAAACAAAATGAGTTTCTTTTTCCAGGTTTTCAGATAAGATGTTTAACCATAACCTTGTCGTAAGAATCACAGAAAAACCTTTTGAGTTATTCAGCTAGAAAGAGAACAGTTTAAAATCCTTTTGTGTCAGTCCCGCTTTCTTTTCTACTGAGAAATCGTGAGAGTAAAAAGATCATTCAGGCCTTCGCTAATGGTACCAACATTCATACCTTAGTTTCGATTTTCAGAGTCCATTCAAGCACCATCAAGAAAACGGTGAATAAGATTAAAATAGAGGTAACAGTAAAACTGAATCAGGAGATCACAACAGGAAGAGGGATCGTCAATTCAACTAAAGAGATCAATTAGAAAGGATCCAACTCAATCCATGAGATATTTGGCACGTGAGAGAAGAGTTTCAGCCCTGGCAGTACAAAGAGCAGTGAAAAAAAATCTTGAAAATGAAATCGTACGTGAAACCTGTGAAGCAACTTGTTACACCAGGAGAGGAATTTAGAAGGTTAGTGGGGTGAAGATCATTTTGAATATGTTTGAAAACACACACACACACACACACACATATATATATATATATATATATATATATATATATATATATTTGAACTTAATTTCAATCCTTTATAAGCTTCCGATCCTTACCTATGATTAATTAATGATGAACAAGTCATTTTTTCTTTATGAACGGTTTCATCATGTTTCTTCTGTTAAGCTTAGAGAGTAACTATACATTGTTATTGTTGAAAGTAGATGCCAACAGGGTTATAAAGCATTAGAGAATTCAAGTAAAATATCTTTAGGGATTCCTAAGATACAATGACTCAAAACTTTATCAAACATTTAGAGAATCTTGCTGTCACACTATTTAGACAATTTTGCTGTTATACCTGATATACATATATATATATATATATATATATATATATATAT